ATACAGGTGCACAAAAGCCATTTCTTTTGTTATAAGGGTTCTGGAAAACTCGTTCAAAATTTATGAAACACCTATTCTATCGAAACAAAATTTATGCCATTAGAAAGTAGACACTTTAGGCTATCCAATTGTGTGCTTTAGAAAAGTCGGTTTTGGCCTAAAATATCGATTTTGAGATAAACACATGATCAAATAGCACAGAGTGTCTACTTTCGACCATGCTAAGACTTAGACTTTCGGAGATAGTTTTTGATGGTTTTAAGCAACAAGTAGTAAAACAACATTTTCAAATACTAGGTTTTACTCGAATACTTAAGCAATCAGCAAGGAGTATGATACCCTTCTATGCAACCTTGCGCTCAAAAAGTTACAAGTATTTTGTTTCACACGCCCGTACAGCGTTTTCTCTCAGAAGCGTTCTTTCCATTAGGAGCTGTTCGTACTTCCCTAAAATCTTCGTCCAGATAGGCGATGTAGAGCTCGGATTGGATTTTCGATGTCCGATGACTGCTGAAAATTACTAACGCAAATATTTAAAAATCGGGCTCTGTTGACGTTTAGCCACATATGCTAGCGTCATTTTGCAATTAACCCGCGCTCTCGCATCTCTATGGATAAAAAATTTTGAGGAATACGAATTTTGATCAATGTTGTGGCTACATCTCACGAATAGATAAAGATGATTGAGACAAAAACAAAGTTTCGTCACCATACTTTGATACAGTTACCATTGCCTGAAAGTTTTATCACGATTTGACTTATGACTACTGAATAGGTTTCTATCAGAGGGAGAAGACTTAATTTTGTATTGATCAGAATGAACACAGCACTAATAGGTATAGGTATCATGTCAAGGGGTAAAAACCACATTCCGGAATGGCTACAAAATTTCTGGAGTGCCACACTAGAATGATGGACTGCCATTCTGGAATAAAAGAAATTTTTTTCAGTTTTAGTCTAAATCTTGGCTTACATATAGCTAAGCTCGGCTTCTGAAAAATGGCATGCCATTCTGAAATGACAGAATGGCATTCAAGAATAGACGTATCCCGGAATGAGTACATTTGCCTTGTAGTGCTTTTTTCCCCTTGTACAGTACAATATTGAATGTCATAACTACGCGTCACTGCCTCATCATTTCTTTTAGAATGCAGAAAGGATCGAATCAAAAAAATATTTGAAATATTACAAGAGTACTGATATTTATAAAGTAAATACTCATATCTGAATTTTAGTATAGCTGGAACTGTTCGTTTCTCTCAATCAATTTTTAATTTTCGATAGACCATTTATGTTGCTTTTCATGTCGTTCCACTTGACGTATGTTATTCAGCAGTGCAAAGTTTTTATTTCTCTAAATCATATAAACGTTTACAGTACAATGCTTTTCATACATTTACTCATCAGCTTCACTGTTGGTTTTTGGGTTTAGTAAAAAGACTGCACTAGGACTTCTGTTATAAATAAACAGAACGCTACGCGACATTTATCAGAATATACAGATATCACTTGTGTTTTTTCCTGACTTATGCAATATTGAGGCTTTTTATTTTTTTAACGGAACCTTAAACAACCGATGTATAAAATATGCACGTGTTTTCACATCATGACTAATGGTCACAGCTACATTGGTCACTGACTTTTTTCAATGGTATGAGTTTCAATAAAACGCATCAGAATTGAAAGTCGTTTTAACTTGTATTTTTTTTTACAAATCACAACGCGTTGATGTTTAGATCCGTTGTAACATTTGTCTTTTGAAAATTTTGAACATTTCATCGATCAATCATAGTTTACCATCAAATAAAAAAAATATATTTTTTTAAAACGCAATTGAAACGTTAAAAATGTAAAACAGATTTAACGATGTTTTTTCAGAGAAAATTTAGAAAGCTCGCTTTTGCAAGACTACTGTTACAAAAAAAGTCACAATTTTTATGATTCTGATGTTTGTCATAGATATGGTTTTATTATATACCACAGAATGTTGCATTTATGTTCGAGAATTATTACAATAATTTGAATGTAAAACGATTGTTTTTGTTTTCTTCTAAAACAGCGGTTCAAGACAGCTAAGTGAGTCTGATCTTTTTCAAGTCGAATAAAAAGGTTTCAAGCTCTCGAGTCCTTTCAAACTGGCCTAATCAAGAATAGTGCTTGTGTATAAAGATTAAAATGATTTTATTTTGCTCTAGTTTATCGATAATTTTTATACTCAGATTAAAATTGTATCGTTTCGAATGGAAAGTAATGGCTCTACGTTCAATTTTCAGATTAAGTTAAAGACTTCAGCTGAAAGATGATTTTCGCGTTATTATCTCTCTTATTTGTTTCTTCTATCCGTATTACAAATGGACAGATGATGGCAGAAGCTTCTTTACATTTTGACAATAATATAACGGTTTCGGGTACAATTACGTTCACGCAAGCCGATGCAAACAGTCCTGTTGTAGTAGCTGGTACATTGACAGGTTTGGTACCACATAGCACTCTTCATGGTTTTCATGTTCATCAAAACAGTATGGATAATACCCTCAATTGTACAGCTGCTGGTAAATTTATTTTCTATGTCAGTACCTTTGTAACCCATTTTGTTTGAAACATTTTGTATTTCTGACTTTTAGGTGCACATTTTAATCCTTATACTAAATTACACGGAGCAAAAAATGATACAATTGATCATCGACACGTTGGTGATTTGGGAAATATTCAGGTTGATGGTTCTGGCAGTGCTACAATAAGCTTGACTGATACTATCATTCAATTGTACAATCAAACACAATCAATTATAAATCGTACAATTATTATCCATCAAGATGTAGATGATCTTGGACTCGGAGGTAGTCCATTAAGTAATACAACAGGGTATGTAAAGTTTGTATTCAACATACTTTTCTTTTTGCTTTGCACTGATTTTTTAAGTTGCAATCTTCGAGTACTCTCTAATTTATCTAGGTCGTAAAAAATAACAACTCGATTTCTTTTTTTCTTTTTTTTTTATAGAAATGCAGGTGCAAGACTAGCATGTGGTGTAATTCGACTGACATCTCATGGAAATATATTATCAAGTACTCCTTGGTATATGTTTATCATCAGTCTATCATTAATATTTATGTTCAATAATTTTATCGCTTCAATGCAATAAAATGATGCTCATAGTTGTGTGTATCTGTTTGATCACAGCTGTATGACAATTTTCGTTGTTTGTTTACTTGGTTTCCTAAGATATCATGTTTTTCTCGACTTTTATATCTTTCTATTTGTTATACTTTTGTTCTCTATACGTTTGTTATGATTGAGCCGTACTGTCTTTTTTACTATATATTTTATTGCTTTTTGATGACTAATTTTAGTCAGACTGTGTTTGAAATTTTTTCTTTTAACATGTACGTGTTTTAAATTAACCAAGATTAGCAAAACAAATTATTTTCTTGATTCAGAAGGCTTTCTGAACGAAAAAACTGGATCAATGCTCGCAAACAGACAGCTTAAACCAGTAGATTTTGAATGTTTGTTGGTTAGTTATTTGTTTTGTCCATCGAGTGTTTATTTCTTAATAGATGCAAGCGCAGCTGTAGAGTTATTTATAAATCTCAACACATTCTTCGATTCAAGTCTCTAATCGAAAATTTATAACTTTTCCCTCATATTCAAAACTTTTTGTTGTAATCTATTCTTAGCGCAGAAACACCTTTAAGAAAGGAGCTTTATGGAGTAAGTTCCTCTGAAAATACCTAGATTACAATTGGTAGTGAAATCGTGTTAGAAGACGAAGTCCGATCAACTATTATACATAACGGAAATTAAGAAATGATAGAAAATTTCTCAGACAGTTCATCATGTTTTAAAACTGAAAAAATCAACTTTTGTTCTTTTAGAATCTATACCATAGACATATGACATATGAAAAATTTGATAGGTGAAAAAACGTGATACAACTTTTCCCATACGATGATTTATATAAATACACTTTTTAATCTAAAAATTAATATACTTTTTCACAATCGATGACAGTCTTGTTAATTTTCAAGTAATTATACTCAGTTCTGTAGTTCAAACGTCTTGTGGACTTGTACTTTAGCTAGTATTGTTAGTATATTAATTGACTATTTTATCTTCTTGATAATTTTATCCTACTGTATTAACATCCACTGTACACATTTGGCACTACAGATGATGAATTAATTGTTCTATATTTAATGTAACTTTTTATCTAATTATTTTTTTGAAATTTTATGTCGTATTCTACTAAAGAAGATTGCCAAAACATCTAGATTATAACCGAATAAATATATGACGAATAGAAATTGATCAAATACTTTTAATAATTTTATCCAACTATGTATTTTAATTAAATCCTATTTTGATCTCACTGTATTGTTATTAATTGTCTGAACATAAAATGGAAGTGTGCTAATAAATTCATCTAGTTTTTCAATAAATATGTCATTGTCATTATTAATCGTTTCGATTGTTGAACATAATGGATTTTTTACAATATAAGTAACGAATATCTAAGATTAACATAGTTTTAAATTAATGTTTTTTAATAATAAATATAAGAATATAAACAACTTACCGAACTATACAACTGATGTAGTATATCACGAATATTTCCCACATTTAAATCTGTATTCATTATAAATTTAAAACCAGTCGGTGTTTCATAATAATTTAATTTATAGACATTTGTTTTAAAGCTAATAAAACCTTCTTTTCTAAAATTGTCCCTCGTTAAGAAATATAAACAAGACGCATTTAACTACAACGACTTTAGTTTAATAAAAGTGAGTAGCACCGTCTATCATTTCAAGAAAAATATCAACGTTAATAACAACATTGAGGATAATTTTCGCTGAAAAAAAACGTTTTCTCTTCTATTTTTCTCTTTTTACTTAATAGTAAAGGATACAAATCTAATGGTGATAATCTTTGCACAAATGATTTAATTGAAAACAGTAAGCCATTCATTAGTTTAAATTCCTAAATAAAGACATTAAACTACGTCTACATTTCTCTAATTTTAAATAATTAATCTTACTTCATCCTGTGTCATATTCATACGTTTTCTTCTTATCCATTCTCGATAGAATAAGCATTGACCAGTACGATTAAATATGTATAGATTATAAACAACCATGTCTCTCTATCTGTAATTAGTAATAAATATTGGCGCTTTTGTCACAACTGGTGTCAGAATTTAGTGAAGAAAAACGATGATTTTCACGTTTACAACTGTTTTTTTATTAATTTCAGCAATATTTTTTTAAAAAGAAAAATAAGAACAAAAGGGAGAGGTTCAGACACATAAAAAGAAACAGGAAAAAGCAGAAACTTGTCTCACTGGTAGTTTCGACTGTGTATGAATACAATTAATAGTCATCTCCTCTACTAACGACCTCTTTGCATGTTGGTCGTAATAAAATGGTGTGTTCAAATTGAGCCGTATAACAGCCTTTAGTATCGCATAGTGGAGGATAAGAATTGACAATTTCTGAATCAACCAAACTTTTTAATGCCATTAAATATTTACTTTCACCAAGACGATCTAACCAACGGCGACAAAATGCTAATGTACCGAAATTTTTTGTTATGGTACTTAATAATTGTCTTGCTTTCGGTAATCTATAAAAACAAAGAAAGAGAAGTTTACTGACTAAATCGGAGCACAGTAAACGATTTTCTATGTAAAAATATGCAGTTCGTGTTGTATTACTGTTCTTGAAGTGTTCCAAATAAATGACGTTCTAATGAGAGTAACTCATGAATTAGAAACATACCGTAATGGTACTTGATCCATATCGAAATTTTTCATGTAATGTGAAACATCCATATCATCGTGTACAACACCTTTGCCAGTACTACCAAATGTTTCGATTGCGTATACTTCACCCTCCTAAATCAGAAAGACAATTAACACAAACTGAGCTACAAGGGAAATACAAAACGCTGTTAGACTAGCGACAATTTTGTTGACAGAACTGATTTGTGCAGACAGTAGTAACTGTACAAACCTCCATTTTAGTCGCTTCACCACCTTTCACTATTGGAACAGATTTTCCGCCATGAATGTGATATTGTCCAATTAAATGTCCCTGAAGATTTCGTATTGCCTTTACTAAAAGTAGAAAAACACAATGAGTTATCTTCAAGATACTGTTGTGCACAACAATAATATTACCAGGATAAACCTTGCCATCAATTTCAACTTCGTATGATTCCATTACCTCTTGTATAGCCTCTCCAATGTCACATAGACGAACATCTATACCGGCTGTCTAAAATAGTCCCAAAAATATTTGATAGATACAGCTGAACATAATTGAAAACTTACTTCAATGCCTGTATTTGTTGCATCCCTTACAGCTGCCAATAACTGATCATATTTCGAATTAAAAGCTAATGTCCAAGCACAATCAATAATACGACCTATAAAAACAGATGATATCATGCTATACGAATTGATTTCTCCAGAATTAATGTGCTACACTTACCATTAATATGTGTTCCAAAATCAATTTTACATACATCATCACGCTGCAATATAGTATTGTCTCCACCATTTGGAGTATAATGAGCAGCACAATGATTCAGCGAACATCCTATAATGTAGAACAGAACATCAAGACAATGTCAACAAGCGGGTAAAGGAAAAGTGCATGCTTAGTCAAAAGTTTTGGATAAATCAGCGTTCTATTAAACATTTTTTCGTTTGTTTGAGCTGCCCTCGACTACATTCAATCCCAAAATGATTCAGGACAACAGAGCTTTACAGTTGTATTCAACAAAGAGCTGAAGATTTCAAAAAAAGTGATTTTCTCAATAGAAAGCATGTACCAGCACTCTGACATGCCAACGAAACTCGACAATTTTCCATACCTGTTGGA